CAGACGTGTTTTATACCTGTCTACCCCATGAACCAGCACATGCACCCCATGGGGACAAGGGGTCCTGTGGAGTTTGCTCTCTGTCGCATACCCAGTGTGCAGTAGGTGCTCATTAAACAGCTGCTGAACAGACAAGTGAAATGCATTCTGGGCTTGGTAGCGCGGACAAAGGCCAAGTAACGGATCGCAATGCCCTCACCGCCATGGCCCTCTAAGATCACACGTCCTCTCCCCTGGCTCCCACCTCAGGGGCCCCTCGGGCCACTCCCCCATCACCACCATCACGCCCAGCTCAGGACCTTTGCGCTGCTCTTCCCTCTCCCTGCAACAACCCCCCAAATCTGCGCGGCAAAGAGAGCTCTGCTCAGTCAGGTTGCAGCTCGGAAGTAGCTACCAGGCTCTCAGAAAGCACCACTGATCATGACCCTCTACTTGTTTCTGATCTGTCTCAACTGGACTGTAAAACCGACAGAAAGGAAGACCGTGCCTCCCCCTCCTTCGCAGCTGCATGGGACCCAGAACGGAGCACATCCCTCAAGGAGGAGGGAGTGAATGGATGCCTGGGGAGAAGGAGAATGGGGGGCCTGCTCCAGGGGGACCAGGAGGACGGAGCAAGAGCTGGCTGAGAGGGGACAGAGGCTCTCGGTGGGGCGCTGCCCCGTGGGAAGACCTGACCTGGAGGATGGGGTGCGAGCCCGGGCTGTTCCTACCTGAAGGGGGAGAGGATGTGGGTGTGAGCACACACCTCTAGAGGGAGCTGCTCAATGCCGGGAGGGTCTGGGGGTGTTGAAAGGGGTATTTTCCCGGGAAATGACTGGGAGGAGGGCGGTGCAAAAGATAAAAAAAACATTCTTGGCTACTGACCAGAAGAATAAGTATTTTTACCCCAGCGAAGGGGGCGTTGAGGGGGTGGTTGGGAGTTCTGGGAGCTGTGTGTGGGGACAGAGATAAAGGGGGACATTCCGTTATGTAGCGCAAATGCAACACTCTTCGGTGGCAACCTATAGGGTCTACTAACGGAGGGTGCAGGGGCGGCTGGTCTGCGTGGGGAAGGCAGCACTGGTGGCATCTGGGGGGCTGTCCTCGAGCAGGCAATGCCGGGGGGCTACGCAGAAGGAAGCCTATGAGAAAGCAGCTCGGGGCAGCGACACGAAAGAGGGCGCTTTGGCCGCCGTCCTACGTAGGAGCGTCAATGAGGCAGATATCTGGGTGCTCTCATGGGGGACCCCGGCGAGGGCCCCGCGCGAGCAGCACTGATGGGGACGTTCTGAGGACCAGAACGGGCCTGGGCGGGACCCCCCGCCCCCGCGGTCCCCGGGCCTCCAGGCCACGCGCCCCGTCACTCACCGGCGCCGGGGGTCTCCGCCGGGAGGAGGCCGAGGAGGCGGAGGAGGCGCCGCTGCTCTGGGGAGACCCGAGGGCCTGACCGGAAGTGCCGCCTCCTCCCCCTCCCCGGCAGCCCCGCGCCGCCCGCCTGCCCGTCCGCCCGGAAACGGAAGTCGCGTTCGTCTCGGAGGAGCTAAAAGAGGCGGCGGCGGCGGTGGCGGCAGGGAGAGGGAAGTGCGCTTGCGCGTTGGCCTGGGGGGCGCGCTGGCCGGGAAAGCCTAGCCCACTTCCGGCGAGCGGCCTGAGCCAGTGCGTCTGCGCTGTGAGGGCCCGCTACTTAGGGCACCGCCCACATCTCCGGTCATTGGGTTAAACCACGCCCACCGCGCAAATCTCACGCTTAAGCCCCGCCCCTGATCTGAAGCACTTTTTCAGAGCTTAATTATAATAAACCCCCAACGTCGCCAAATGCGTCCTCCTTGCCTTGGTCTCGCTAATTTTCCCCAGTTCATCCCCACCTCCAAGACCCGACCCTCTAGAAGTCCACCTCTTCCTCTTAAGCTCCGCCCTCACGGCTTCTTAGGCCAAATCACGCCCTTACTTAAGCCCCGCCCTCCACCCACTAGCATATAAACTCCCTCTCTCACAATTTCAATGTGATCTCTGTGCTTCCAGCCTTTCCTAAAGCATTCCCTTAAATCAGTGCTTCTCAAGCTGTGGTCCAAAGACGAGCAGCAGCGACATCACTGGGAAAGGGTTAGAAAGGGAAATGCTCAGGTCCCCGCTCCAGAAGTTCTGAACCAGAAACCACGGGCGTAGGAACTTCCAGTTATAGATACGCAAGTCACAGCCATGTCAGGTACAGAATAGGGGATACAGTCAATAATACTGTAATACCTTTGTATGGTGACAGGTGGTAACTACTTATCGTGATCATTTCATAAGGTACAGAAATACCGCACCACTGCTAGAGACCTGACACTAATGAGTATATGTCAGCTATAATTCTATTAAAAATTACAATGAAACACCCTCCAGGTAATTGTGGTGCAGGCTGAAGTCAGAACCACAGCGTATCCACACCTGCATTGCCCCTTATATATTCCTGCAAACCTCGCCCCTGGCTCAGCTCTGCCCCCGCAGCTCCGCCCAGTTCTATTGGGCCCATCCTGCTAAGCTCCCCCTCTCTGGGATTCCCTCAGTTACTCCTCTGAGGTTCCCCCTCTTCCCTTGGCCTGAACAGCAGCCATGCCCACCCCTCCTGACACCTTGCTCTCCTAGTTTCCCCTTGAAGCCCCTCCTCTCAGCTAAACCCTCTCCATACCTAGATCCATCACTCACTGCCCACAGCCCCGGAGCCACTGTAAGCACCACTCCAGCTCACAGAGGCCTTCTCCTAAGCCCCGCCCACAGTTCTCACCTACCTGCCCAGTAAGCCTCCTTGCTCAGTCCACACCCCTCCAGGCCACACCCTTTACCTACCTAAGCCCAGCAAAGTTGTCAGTTCTAACCACTACTATCAACTCAGTTTTTCTTCCAAACGCGGTCAGGAAAAGGAGATGGGGCAAAGTGGTGGCTGCAGACTCTCCATGAATCTGGCTGGACTGGGGGAGGGTGGGCCTGGAGTGTCATCTGTACAGAAGGCGCAATGTTTTCCTTAGAGTGGATATTTAGGGGAGTGCTTCCAGGTCTGCTAGAGCTGGGAGAGGGGACAGAGGCTGCCACCAAGCCACTTCTTTATCACCAAGTTAAAGGCACGTGACATGGAGACTCCCAAATCCCAAGCACTCCCATGGGTGGTGTAGGAGCAGAGGGCAATTGAAAAGGAGGAGTAGCCCTGGCCAGTGTGGCTGAGAGTCGCTCCATGCAACCGGAGGTCACTGGTTCACTTTCTGGTCAGGTCACATGCCTGGGTTTGGGGCTTGATCCCAGTAGGGGGCGTGAAGGAGGCAGCCGATCCCTTTTCTCTCCCTCTCCCTTCCTCTTCTAACAAGAAAAAGAGAAGCAGAGGAAGGCCAGGCCTCCCACCAGCACTGAACACACAGGGGGAGCCAGGCGGCAGTGATTTATTTCTGTGGCCCCTGCGTCCAAGGGCCTGTAAGTCCGGGAGAAGGTGGCAGAAGGCAGCAGGGCCCACCAGAAGTTGCGGTCCTCACCTGAAATCCCCTCCCACAAGAATCCCACCAGACAGGAGGGTGTCTGGGCTACAAGACCCAGGCGCAGCACCAGCTGAACCCCCAGCCCTAAACCTGGCCGGGGGTGTGGGTCAGGCCAGCTCTTTTCCCTCCGGCTCCTCCTCCTCTTCCTCGGCCCCCTCTGTGGCCAGGATGCCCTCGTGGTCCCACGGTAGCTCAAGGCCCTGGTTCTGGGGGACATACGGGGGCTCCCATGGTCTCGGGGTGCTTGCACTTGGCATGGTGCTTGAGCGACCTGACCTCTGTGAAGTGCATCCGGCAGATGAAGCACTGGTAGGGACGCTCCCCGGAGTGGACACGGTGGTGGTGCGCCAGCTCCCCAGCCTCGCGGAAGCGGCGGGGGCAGAGCTGGCAGCGGAAGGGCCGCAGGCCAGTGTGGATGTTGCAGTGCCGCCGCAGGTGGCTGGACCGCTTGAAGGTTGCCGCAATCCTTGCACTCGTGTGGCTTCAGCTCGGAGTGCGAGATGCTATGGCGCTCCAGGTCCGAGAGGTAGGGGAAGGCCCGCAGGCACACTGGGCAGAAGTGCGGGGTCTTCTTGGGGCCTGAGCCCTCAGGCCCGTCGGCCAAGGCCCCTTCTGAGACAGTATAGGTCACACCCTGATCAGGATCAGCAGGAGGTCGCTGAGATCACGGCCACCGCCCACCGAGGCTGTTACCACCTTTGCCAGCGGGGGCTCCTGCCCTGACTTGGGGGGGCGTACCCGCTTGTGAGGGGGACAGGCCTTGAGCGTCTGATTGGAGGAGCAGGCCTCTCTGGGACACTCACTCAGGCGGTCCCGGGTGATAGAAGAAAGTAAGGCCAGAGGTTTCTCTTCCTCCCCGGGCAAAGGCGAAGGCAACGGGTCTGGGCTGGGGGTGTCCATTGAGCAATGGAGGACTTGGGTCTGGGTACTGGAGCCGGGCTACGAGGAGAAAGGGGGCAGCCGTCAGTGCAGGGTAGGTCTGGAGTGCCCCTGGTTCCCTGAGACCTCGCCCATCCCTCTGTCTGGGTCTCTCGACCTGGGCATGGCTGACATTCACCTGGACGCACAATGGTAGCCACGCTGGGGAGTAAAAGGACAGCATAATTCTGTGCCAGCTGGTAAACAGGCACTGCCCTGAGCCCCAGACACATGCCCCAGGCCTCCGTCACCCCTGCCATGGATCACGAAGTTCAAGGTCAATTTGAGCCAAAATAAAGAAAAATCTTCAAGGGAGGAGAGAGTCCAACTGAAGGTACAGGCCAGTGCTGTGATCCTCAAGGCAGAGCGCCCAGCAAGCTCCAGGGCTACAGAGGCCTGGGAAATGATTCTGTCCGCGCTCTTGATCGCAGAAGTGGGAGGGCCAGGGCAGGACCGGAAGAAAGGCCGTGCTCCCAGGTGGTGTCTGACCCCCAGCGGCTGGTGAGGAAATACACTGGAGTCTAGTCTCTGGAGGCAGATATTCTGGGTTTCATTCTGTAAGGTTCGCGGCGCAGGAGACAAGGTCAGAGAGCCAGGCAAGTCAAAAAGAGGAACTTTAATCTGCACTCCCAGGCGAAGTTCATGGGTCCAAGTGCAGGGCCAGTGAAGTAGCGCCAAAAGGGAGTGGAGGCACTTTTTTTATACAGCTGTTCAGTGAGGGCAGGGAAGCATGATCTGTGGGAGTTTCCGCCTCGGGCAGGTCTGTTACGGCTTTCGGGAAAGTTCCAGTATCTGCGTCACCATCTGCCTGGTGCACTGGTCTGGTACAGGTTCCAGGAAGGAACCAGTATCTGTATCTCCATTTGCCTTGAGATTGCATGCATCGGCTCTTGGACTTCCCTCCGACCTAACATCCCTGCCTTTTGGTGATAGGGGGCGCCGAAATCGTCTTAGCTACTTCCTGCTGACCAGGGGAGAAGAGGGAGGGGGGTTTTTAAGGCCAGGGTCAGGCAGAGGCAAGTCTGAGGGCAGCCAAGTGCAGGGGTGGAGCAGGAGCTGACTTACAGTCACCCGTGACATCTCCGCGATCCAGGAGCAGATGAACTTGAGGAGGCAGGGGGCTAGGAAAAACAAAAACACAGATGAGAATTAGGGGCCCTATTATAGATAGGATCCAAGTAGCTAAGGGGCTTTGAACCAGCCGAAAAGAGAGTTGTCCCGGGAGTGTTTTGCACTTAGTTCTTCACTCAGCTTAGTCAGGGTCTGCACGTTTTGCTCCACTACTCCGGACTCATTGATGTAGTAGCAGCATTATTCCTGAAGGAATATGCAGGTTTCTTCTTTTTCTGCAGTAAGAAGGTCTGGGGCCCATTGGTTCTGCAGAGTTACTTGGGCTACCGATGTTACTTGCCACTGTAGGGAGGCTAAGGAGGCAGCAATAGACTCCAGGGCTATTTGAAGCTTGTCATTGAAATCCTGAGCAGAGACTAGGCTGTTCCCGAGCCCCCCCTTCCACTGGCAAGGCCTACCGAGGCAGCGACGCTCACCCCTAACATGACAGGGAGGAAGGCAGCCCGGCGGACCTGGGGGAGGGATGAAGGGAGCAGGCAGGTGAGCTCTGACTCTCCATACAAGGTTAGTTGGGGAACTACTGTGACCACAAAGCAAGGCCCTGGGTCAGAGGAGTTTATGCAGTTGCTTGAGGTGCCATTGCATCAAAAGAAGGTACCCAGGCTGGCCTCGGTGGGACTGGCTGCGGTATGGTTTTGGGTAAAGTTCCAAGTGACTTGTCCCCAGTTACCGGATTACTGGTCTGGTAGCATATCCATGGGGGCAGGGTGGCTTTGGAGTTTCAGATTCCCAAAAAGGAATGCCGGCCAAGGGACGCTGACATTCATCTTGCTCCTGGGTTCCTGGAGGGGTTATGAGTGGGATGGCAGCCAGCAAAGGTCTTTGGAGAGAGGCGCATAGAAAGCGGTGCGAGACATTGGGCAGGGTGCGGGTCTCGTTGAGGAATGGTTGAGTGTGTTGAATAAGTTGGAGCCAAGAAGATAGGACTTCTACCCACAGGGAGTCGGGCCACCTTGAGGGTCCGCTTGGGTGTTACTACCACATAGGAGGCTTTCCAACGTCCCTGGGGGTCTAGGCATGAGCTTCCATCCACAAACAGAGTTAAGTCAGGATTGGAGAGAAGAGAATCTGAGAGTCCTACCCGAGGCTGAGTGAGGGCCTCGATGACCTCGGGACAGGAGTGCGTTGCCGCAGGTAGGGTGGAGGCAGCGGGAAGGAGAGTGGCCCGGTTCAGGGCTGGGGAGTGGGTCAGGGAGATGTCAGGATTCTCGAGGAACAGGAGATGGAGTTCCTGCATGCGAGAGGGGGCAAGGAGAAATAAGGATCGGTGGGACAGGAGGTCCTGTAGTCTATGGGTGTAGAAGACCTGTAGGGGTTGTTGGAGGCAGATCTTTTGGGCCTACTTGGTGAGAGCGGCAGCTGCAGCCAGAGTCTGGAGGCAGGGCTGCCATCCCCAGACTGTGGGGTCATGCTGTCTAGACAGGTAGTCTATGGGGGTGAAGGCTGGCCCTAGGAGCTGGATGAGGACCCCAATAGCCATTCCTTGTCTTTCATCAGTAAATAGTTGGAAAGGCTTAGAGATGTCCGGGGGGGGGGGGGGGGCGATGCCAGAGGGTATCTTGGAGCTTAGAGAAAGCCTGGCCAAAGAGAGAGGGTGAGGAGAGGGGGCCTGCTGGTGTTTCTTTAGCAGCCTGGTATAGGGGCTTATCTAGGAGGGCAAAGTTTGGGAACCAATGGCGGAAGAATCCTACCAGTCCCCAAAAGGACAAGATCTGGTCTGCAGAAGTTGGGGGCTGTAGGTCTCGCATTGCCTGTGCTTGGTCAACTGTCAGTCCTCGGGAATTGGGTGTCAGACAGATCGCCAAGTAAGTGACGGTGGGGGCTGACAGTTGCACCTTGGCAGGGGACACACGGTATCCTTTGTCCCCTAGAAAGTTGAGGAGACCAGCTGTATGCCTCTGGGATATGTCCAGGGAGAGGCTGCAGAGAAGGAGATCATCTACATACTGGAGAAGAGTGCTGGGTTCCAACAAGCATTGTTGGAGGTCTCTGGCTAGGGCCTGGCCAAACAGATGAGGACTGTCTCTGAACCCCTGGGGCAGGACTGTCCAGATGAGGTGGCGGGATACCTGCTCGTCTGGGTCCTCCCAAGTAAATGCAAACAGATGAAAAGAGTCTGGGTCCAGAGGGATAGTAAAGAAGGCATCCTTGAGGTCAAGGATGGAAAAGTGGGTGGTACAGGATGGGATGCATGAAAGGAGAGTGTAAGGATTAGGGACCACCGGGTGGATGAGGACCACCGATCCACTGATCAGCCGGAGGTCCTGAACCAGCTGGTAGGTCCCATCTGCCTTCCTAACTGGGAGGATGGGGGTGTTGCAGGGAGAGTCGATAGGTATGAGGAGATCCTGCCCCAGAAGCTGAGTAATGAGTGGTTTGAGCCCTCAGCAATGAGTGAGGGAGATAAAAAACTGGGGATGGGAGAGAAATGAGGTGGGGTCCTTAAGTCTAATCTTGACCAGGACATGGTATCTAGTAACCACCGGGGTAGAGGTATCCCACACTTTTGGGTGAACAAGGGTTGTAGACAGTGGGGGACCGGCGTCCCTGTGAAGGGAGGGGGCAAGGAGCAGAAGAAGCAGGGAGGCTGAAGGGCTCCAAGTGAGCTGCAGAGTGGCCCCTAGTTTGGTGAGGATATCCCGTCCTAAATGGGGCATGGGGCACGAAGGCATGACTAAGAATGAGTGAGTTACAGGGCTATCATCGAGGAAATAGGGAAGGGGTCTGGTGGCCAGTGGGCAGGTGGATTTGCTGTCAATACCCATGACTGAGATCGTGGAAAGAAAAAGAGGCCCTAAAATGAGGGCAGGACAGAGAAGGTAGCCCCTGTATCGACCAGGAAGGAGACTGGCTTACCCGCTACCTTGAGCGTTACTCTGGGCTCGGCGAGGGTGATGGGGGTCATCAAGTCTGGGCCCTTTCAGTCTTCGACCAGTCCCAGCATGGCCAGCAGTGGGTCATGACCTGGAAGGGTGGCCCTCCACGCTGAGACGCAGAGGGCCCGTCACTTTTCCAGGGGCAGTCGCTTTTCCAGTGACCGCAATGACCACACGCCGGGCAGGGCTTGGTTGGAGCCCGGGGCCAAGGGCACTGCTTTTCCCAGTGGCCTTCATTTCTGCATTTGAAGCATTCTCCAGGCGGTGTTCATCCTCTCGTTGCACCCCCACCGCACACGGCCCCCTTGGGACCATGCGCAGCTGCCATTGGCTGCAGGGCCACAACCAGGGCTTGGGATTGCAGGTCTACCTTCTGTCGAAGGCAGGCCTCCCGATCTGACTCTGCCTGCTCCTCACGGGCATTAAAAACCTTAAAGGCCATGTTCACTAGATCTCGGACTGGGTCTGAGGGTCATCCTCAGCCTTTTTTAACTTTTTCCAAATATCTGGGGCTGACTGCGAGATGAAGTGGGTGGCTAAAACTGTTGCTCCAGCTGGGGACCCAGGGTCCAGACGAGCATACAAGGTCAGAGCCTCAGTCAGCCTGTTAAGGAAGACCGCGGGGTTCTCATCTGGTCCCTGAGTAATTTCTCTTAGTTTGTCAAAATTAACTAGTTGTGGGAGACGGCCTGTAGACCGGCCATCAGGCATTGGAGCATCTGGTCTCGGTGTTGGCGCCCGTTTTGGCCTCGGGGGTATCTAGTTGGTACTCCCATCCCGGCTCTTGGCAAGGGACAGCCTGGGCCCCTACCGGCATATTGACATCTGTAAGGTGGACCTGATCTGCGTGGTCCATTCTGCCCCCAAGCCTTTTTCCCTTTCATCTGATGTTAGGGTGGAAGAAAGAATGACATGGATGTCATGCCAGGTGAGGTCATAGGCCTGAGAGAGGAATCGGAATTCCTTGATGAACGCAGTGGGGTTGGCAGAAGAGGACCCCAGCCACTTCTCAATCTGGGAGAGATACGACAGAGAGAAGGGAACATGGACCCGGACAACTCCCACAGATGCTGCAACCTCCCGGAGGGGACAGAGGAGAGGAGGGGCCTGCGAACATGTGTGTTTGTTGACTGGGGAAGCAGGCGGGGGTGGGGGAGGGGGAGTCACCAGGCAGCTTGAGCTTCCGGCTCCTGCCGCAACCGCAGCAGTGTCCCAGGAGTGGGGCGGAGGAGGGGCCTGGTCAGCAGGTAGGGGAGAGGCATTACAGGAGGAGTAGCGGAGGGAGGTCCGGTAGGGAGGGAGGAGGAGAGGGTGAGGACGATGAGGCCGAAGGAGCTTTGGGGAAAGGGTCTGGGTAGGGAGGCCGAGGAGTTGGAGGGCAGGAAAGATTTTCCGGGGGTTCAGATAAGGCAGAAAGTGGAGCGGTATCAGTAGGCGGAGTAGGTTTCTCACGAACCAGGAGAACCTGGGCCGTGGAACAGGAGGAACAGAGGGAGGGGCAGGAGTGCAGATAGAAAAAGGCCTGGACATAGGGGACCTGGGCCTCTTCCCGGTTCGCCGGCAGAAATTACTGAGGTCAGTAAGGATGTTAAAATCAAAGGTCCTGTTTTCGGGCCATTTTGACCCGTTGTCCAATTCGTACTGAGCCATGCCATCTTACAGAAGTGAATGAGGCGTTTAGGATGCAGATCCTGGGACAGGCCCAGTTTAGCCAGGTTGGCCAGCAGGCACCCTAGAGGTGAGCTCGGATCAGGTTTAGAATTTTGATTACCCATGCTCGATTCCTGAGGTCAGTAGCCGGGGCTAAAGGACCAGCGTCCCAATTGTTTAGCCGAGATACGGACAGAGGGACCGAGGGACTGCAGGGATGTCTCCACTACCTCCCAGGGTCAGAGAACAGGGGGCAATCTCTGACACAGCTGCCCTTTATGGACAGAGATGCCGGCGGCTGACCGCCAGGGATCGGCAGGGCGGGACTTACTGCTGACCGGGAGAAGCCGGGGGATCCTGAGCCATGAGAAGGGAGAGGAGGGCACCCAGACCGTAGGGGGATGGTCGGATGGGGTGCTTGCACTTCCCGGGTTTTGGCGCCAAATGTAAGGTTCGCGGCAGAGGAGACAAGTTCAGACAGCCAGGCAAGTTAAAAAGAGTAACTTTAATCTGCACTCCCGGGCGAGGTTGACGGGTCCAAGTGCGGGGCTGTGGGAGTTTTCGCCTCGGGCAGGTCTGTTACAGGTTCCAGGAAGGAACCAGTATCTGAGTCACCATCTGCCTTGCGATTGCATGTATCCGCGCCTGGACTTCCCTCCGACCTAACAGATTCCCGAGTCTGTCGCTCTGTGTGTGGCTCTGGGCCAGGTGCACACTTTTCCCAGCCTCAGTTAAGCCTTCTGCACAACAGGACGGAGTTCCACCGCCTCCCGGGGACATGCCATGAGAATGATTCACACAAACCGCTCAGGACACAGAGCATCCGGAGACATCAGCCCTCTGAGAAGGTCACAACCACCCTCACTTGGCAAATGGAGAAACCCAGGCGCAGGGGAGCCATGCCAGCTGTCCAAGCTCCCACCTCTAGGAAGTGGCCGGGCCAAGATTCGGACACAATGGCCAGGCAGGGAATGAGAAGAAAGGGATTCAGGTGCCAAGGGGACATCATGGGGTCCCGCTGGTCCTGGGAAATGGATATACCAGGGCTGTCCGTTGACACAGTAAGGACACAATAAACCACAGCAATAATCATCATCATCATCATCATCATTATCAGGATCATCATCATCATCATCATCAGTGCTGGGGTGTCCCAAGTGGAGGGAGGGGGAGCACAGGTGCAGTTAGGAGCAGGGGCTGCAGATGTCACTGTGACCCCATGGAACAGGCGCACAGATGGCGGGGCACCTGCTTCTCCAGAATCACACGGTGCGCTCCGGGAGGGGGACTGGACTGGGGGACAACCACTGCCTTGGGATGGGGTGGTGTCCCGACCCTCGCCCACCGCCAGCCCGTAGCGCGCCAAGGAAGGGAGTTGGGGGGGCGGGGGGTGACGGTGCTGCGGGCCTTGCGGGGGAGGCTCATGGAGCAGCATCGGGTCAAAGCCCGAGAGGCCGCCAGGAAAGGGGGTCCGCGCGCGCGCCCGGCTGGCTCCACCGGGCGCGCGAGGTCGGCGAGCGCACGGCGCCCAGAGCGCGGGCGCGGGAGCAGGAGCAGGTGCGGGGGGCGCGCTCCCGGCGCGCGCGGCCCCCTCCTCCCCTCCCTCCGCCCGGACCCCTCCTCTCGGGTACCTCATTTGCATGCCGCCGGGGGCTCGCGAGTGTGCGCGTGCGGGGGGCGACCGGGCCGACGCGTGGGAAGGGGCGGGGGCGAGGGGGCCCGTCCCCTGACTGCGCGCACGCGCGCGACGGCCCCGCCCCACGGAGCGGTCCCGGAGGCCCCGCCCACTCCCCCTCCCGGTCGGACCCGCGCCCGCGGGGAACAAAGGGTCGCGCTGGGGCCTCAGGGCCGCTCACGCCCGCGCCCGCCCTCCCCGCGCCCTCGCTGGCCCCGAGCGGGAAGTAACCCGCCAACACATGACAACCAGGTAGAAATGCTTCCCTCCCACACGGCGCCCAGTCGGGGGCCCAGTGAAACCCAGGTACCGAGAGGATGAGGAGCGGGAAAATGGCTGCTCCTTCCCGTAGTTAACATGGCGCCCGACCAGCTTCAAAGCCTCCGGGAGGGCTGAGGGCAAGATGGAACCCGCTCTGGCCTCCTCTAACTCTACCGCGGCCGGCGGCCTTGGAGGTCTCGTACCTCCCGATGCACCGGAGGTGGGGGGGCCTGAGACGGCAGACGTGGCTCAGAGCTGCCCTCATCTGCGCGACCCCGCGCCGAGGAGCCGCACGCCCGGCGCGCTGCCCTTAGTCGGCATGGCGCCGGGTCACCCCGAACCCCGCCCCTCCGCTTGCCCTCATCCAAGATGGCGCCCGCCTGGCTTCGCGAACTGCTGGCGCCGGGAAAGGGATGGGAAGGAGGGAGAGGGGCGGGCGGCTGGGAGGGGGCGCGCGGGGGAGAAGGGAGCCGAAGCGGAAGTCGAGGGGCCCCCCGGGTGGAAGTGACGCTGCCCCCGCTGCCCAAAATGTCGGCGCCCAGAGGGAGGTGTAAGTAATTAAAGGGGATAGCCGATGGCTTTCCGGCCTCCCGGGGCCGCCCCAGGGGCCCCGAGCCCCCGCGCCCTACCTGCTGTGAGGTTCGCGGCACAGGAGACAAGGTCAGAGCCAGGCCAGTCAGAAAGAGGAGCTTTAATTTGCGCGGGGCCAGGGAAGTCCCGCCACAGAGGAGTGGAGGCACTTCTTTATGCACCTGCTCATGGGGGCGGGAGCGGGAGCTGTGGGGTTTCCCCCGCGGGCAGGTCTGTCACGGTCCCAGGGTAATGAACGCCCCAGGGCGGAGGAACAATCGTAGCTCACAGTTAACTTAGGTCACCGCCGTCCCTGGCTCGGCTGCAAAGACTGCAGCTTCCTTTTCACATTTTTTGCAGCCAAAAAGAGCAGGTCACGGTTTAGCCAGGGGTGACGCGTTCCAGGAACCTAACCTTTCAAAGGTATAAGAAATGGAGCAGCGAACTTGGTGTGTTTGGCCAGCCGTTTTGTGGTTTTTGTGAATAAAAGCTCACTTCTACGTCTGGTCGGGGCTGCAGTTTCCATCCTGGCTTCGGTTACCGGCACTGCAGGCGCTGGCCAGCTGAATAAAGGCTCCTAAACTTTACCCTTTGGCTCTGGCGGTCTCTCACAGGTTACCCCATAACACCCGGGCAGGTCTGTTACGGGTTCCAGGAAGGAACCAGTGTCTGCATCACCATCTGCCTTGCGATGGCATGCACCGGCTCCTGGACTTCCCTCCGACCGAACAGCGGCATCACCGGGAAAGGGTTAGAAAGGGGAATGCTCAGGGCCCCGCTACAGAAATTCTGAACCAGAAACCCTGGGCGTAGGAACTTCCAGTTATAGATACGCAAGTCACAGGATGTCAGGTACAGAATAGGGGACACAGTCAGTAATACCGTGATAGCTTTGTATGGCGACAGATGGTAACTACTTATTGTGATCATTTCATAAGGTACAGAAATACCACACCACTGCTAGAGACCTGACACTAATGAGTATATGTCAGCTATAATTCTATTAAAAATTAAAATGAAACACCCTCCAGGTAATTGTGGTGCAGGGTGAAGTCAGAACCACAGCTTATCCACACCTGCATTGCCCCTTATATATTCCTGCAAACCTCGCCCCTGGCTCAGCTCTGCCCCCGCAGCTCCGCCCAGTTCTATCGGGCCCATCCTGCTAAGCTCCCCCTCTCTGGGATTCCCTCAGTTACTCCTCTGAGGTTCCCCCTCTTCCCTTGGCCTGAACAGCAGCCATGCCCACCCCTCCTGACACCTTGCTCTCCTAGTTTCCCCTTGAAGCCCCTCCTCTCAGCTAAACCCTCTCCATACCTAGATCCATCACTCACTGCCCACAGCCCCGGAGCCACTGTAAGCACCACTCCAGCTCACAGAGGCCTTCTCCTAAGCCCCGCCCACAGTTCTCACCTACCTGCCCAGTAAGCCTCCTTGCTCAGTCCACACCCCTCCAGGCCACACCCTTTACCTACCTAAGCCCAGCAAAGTTGTCAGTTCTAACCACTACTATCAACTCAGTTTTTCTTCCAAACGCGGTCAGGAAAAGGAGATGGGGCAAAGTGGTGGCTGCAGACTCTCCATGAATCTGGCTGGACTGGGGGAGGGTGGGCCTGGAGTGTCATCTGTACAGAAGGCGCAATGTTTTCCTTAGAGTGGATATTTAGGGGAGTGCTTCCGGGTCTGCTAGAGCTGGGAGAGGGGACAGAGGCTGCCACCAAGCCACTTCTTTATCACCAAGTTAAAGGCACGTGACATGGAGACTCCCAAATCCCAAGCACTCCCATGGGCGGTGTAGGGGCAGAGGGCAATTGAAAAGGAGGAGTAGCCCTGGCCAGTGTGGCTCAGTTGGCTGAGAGTCGCTCCATGCACCTGGAGGTGGCTGGTTCACTTTCTGGTCAGGTCACATGCCTGGGTTTGGGGCTTGATCCCAGTAGGGGCGTGAAGGAGGCAGCCGATCCCTTTTCTCTCCCTCTCCCTTCCTCTTCTAACAAGAAAAAGAGAAGCAGAGGAAGGCCAGGCCTCCCACCAGCACTGAACACACGGGGGAGCCAGGCGGCAGGGATTTATTTCTGTGGCCCCTGCGTCCAAGGGCCTGTAAGTCCGGGAGAAGGTGGCAGAAGGCAGCAGGGCCCACCAGAAGTTGCGGTCCTCACCTGGAATCCCCTCCCACAAGAATCCCACCAGACAGGAGGGTGTCTGGGCTACACAACCCAGGCGCAGCACCAGCTGAAGCCCCAGCCCTAAACCTGGCCGGGGGTGTGGGTCAGGCCAGCTCTTTTCCCTCCGGCTCCTCCTCCTCTTCCTCGGCCCCCTCTGTGGCCAGGATGCCCTCGTGGTCCCACGGTAGCTCAGGCCCTGGTTCTGGGGGACACACAGGGGCTCCCATCGTCTCGGGGTGCTTGCGTTTGGCATGGCGCCTGAGCGAGTTGGCCTCTGTGAAGCGCATCCGGCAGATGGGGCACTGGTAGGGACGCTCCCCGGAGTGGACACGGTGGTGGTGCGCCAGCTCCCCAGCCTCGCGGAAGCGGCGGGGGCAGAGCTGGCAGCGGAAGGGCCGCAGGCCAGTGTGGATGTTGCAGTGCCGCCGCAGGTGGCTGGACCGCTTGAAGGTCTTGCCGCAATCCTTGCACTCGTGTGGTTTCAGCTCGGAGTGCGAGATGCTATGGCGCTCCAGGTCCGAGAGGTAGGGGAAGGCCCGCAGGCACACTGGGCAGAAGTGCGGGGTCTTCTTGGGGCCCGAGCCCTCAGGCCCGTCCGCCAAGGCCCCTTCTGAGACGGTATAGGGCACACCCTGATCATCGATCAGCAGGAGGTCGTTGCCATCCCGGCCGCTGCCCACCGGGGCGGTCACCCCCTGTGCCAGCGGGGGCTCCTGCCCTGACTTGGGGGGGCGGCCTCGTTTGCGAGGGGGGCAGGCCTTGAGCGTCTGATTGGAGGAGGAGGCCCCTCCCGGACGCTCACCCGGGCGGCCCCGGGGGACAGCAGAAGATAAGGCCAGAGGTTTCTCTTCCTCCCCGGGCAAAGGCGAAGGCAACGGGTCTGGGCTGGGGGTGTCCATTGAGCAGTGGAGGACTTGGGTCTGGGTACTGGAGCCGGGCTACGAGGAGAAAGGGGGCAGCCGTCAGTGCAGGGTAGGTCTGGAGCGCCCTGGTTCCCTGAGACCTCGCCCATCCCTCTGTCTGGGTCTCGCAACCTGGGTTTGGCTGACATTCACCTGGACGCACAATGGTAGCCATGCTGGGGAGTAAAAGGACAGGATAATTCTGTGCCAGCTGGTAAACAGGCACTGCCCTGAGCCCCAGACACGTGCCCCAGGCTTCCCTCACCCCTGCCACGGATCATGAAGTTCAAGGTCAATTTGAGCCAAAATAAAGAAAAATCTTCAAGGGAGGAGAGAGTCCAACTGAGGCTACAGGCCAGTGCTGTGATCCTCAAGGCAGAGCGCCCAGCAAACTCCAGGGCTACAGAGGCCTGGAAATGATTCTGTCCGCGCTCTTGATCGCAGAAGTGGGAGGGCCAGGGCAGGACCGGAAGAAAGGCCGTGCTCCCAGGTGGTGTCTGACCCCCAGCGGCTGGTGAGGAAATACACTGGAGTCTAGTCTCCGGAGGCAGATGTTCTGGGTTTCATTCCTGAGTCTGTCGCTCTGTGTGTGGCTCTGGGCCAGGTGCACACTTTTCTGAGCCTCAGTTAAGCCTTCTGCACAATAGGACGGAGTTCCACTGCCTCCCGGGGACATGCCATGAGGATGATTCACACAAACCGCTCAGGACACAGAGCATCAGGAGACATCAGCCCTCTGAGAAGGTCACAACCACCCTCACTTGGCAAATGGAGAAACCCAGGCACAGGGGAGCCGTGCCAGCTGCCCAAGCTCCCTCCTCTAGGAAGTGCCGGGCCAAGATTCGGACACAATGGCCAGGCAGGGAGTGAGAAGAAAGGGACTCAGGGGCCAAGGGGACATCCTGGGGTCCCGCTGGTCCCGGGAAATGGATATACCAGGGCTGTCCTTTGACACATAGTAAGGACACAATAAACCACCGCCACCACCAGCATCATCATCAGAGCTGGGGTGTCCCAAGTGGAGGGAGGGGGAGCACAGGTGCAGTTAGGAGCAGGGGCTGCAGATGTCACTGCGAGCCCTTGGAACAGGCGCACAGATGGCGGGGCAACCGCTTCTCCAGAATCACATGGTGCGATCCGGGGAGGGGGACTGGACTGGAGGACAACCACTGCCTTTGGGGTGGGGTGGTGTCCCCACCCTCGCCCACCGCCAGCCCGGAGTGTGAGGGGGACGGGTGCGGGGGGCGGGGGGGACGGGCGAGCCTTTCAGGGGCGTCCGACGAGCAGCGCCGGGCCGCAGCCGGCGAGGCCGCCAGGAAAGGGGGTCTGCGCGCGCGCCCGGCTGGCTCCACCGGGCGCGCGAGGTCGGCGAGCGCACGGCGCCCAGAGCGCGGGCGCGGGAGCAGGAGCAGGTGCGGGGGGCGCGCTCCCGGCGCGCGCGGCCCCCTCCTCCCCTCCCTCCGCTCCCGCCCCCCGCCCGGACCCCTCCTCTCGGGTACCTCATTTGCATGCCGCCGGGGGCTCGCGAGTGTGCGCGTGCGGGGGGCGACCGGGCCGACGCGTGGGAAGGGGCGGGGGCGAGGGGGCCCGTCCCCTGACTGCGCGCACGCGCGCGACGGCCCCGCCCCACGGAGCGGTCCCGGAGGCCCCGCCCACTCCCCCTCCCGGTCGGACCCGCGCCCGCGGGGAACAAAGGGTCGCGCTGGGGCCTCAGGGCCGCTCACGCCCGCGCCCGCCCTCCCCGCGCCCTCGCTGGCCCCGAGCGGGAAGTAACCCGCCAACACATGACAACCAGGTAGAAATGCTTCCCTCCCACACGGCGCCCAGTCGGGGGCCCAGTGAAACCCAGGTACCGAGAGGATGAGGAGCGGGAAAATGGCTGCTCCTTCCCGTAGTTAACATGGCGCCCGACCAGCTTCAAAGCCTCCGGGAGGGCTGAGGGCAAGATGGAACCCGCTCTGGCCTCCTCTAACTCTACCGCGGCCGGCGGCCTTGGAGGTCTCGTGCCTCCCGATGCACCTCTAAGATGTTACCCGGCGCGCTGCCCTTAGTCGGCATGGCGCTGGGTCACCCCGAACCTCGCCCCTCCGCTTGCCCTCATCCAAGATGGCGCCTGCCTGGCTTCGCGAACTGCTGGCGCCGGCAAAGGGATGGGAACGAGGGAGAGGGGCGGGCGGCTGGGAGGGGGCGGCCAGGAAGGCGGGAGGGAGGGGGAGCGCGGGGGAGAAGGGAACCGAGGCGGAAGTCGAGGGGCCCCCCGGGTGGAAGTGACGCTGCCCCCGCTGCCCAAAATGTCGGCGCCCAGAGGGAGGTGTAAGTAATTAAAGAGGAAAGCCGACTGACTTTCCTGGCCTCCCGGGGCCCCCCCAGCGCCCCCGAACCCCCGCGCCCTACCTCCGAGGTGCACTCACCCGGCCGCGGGTCCCGCCGGACTGGCCCCCGCCCCGGGTGCCCCGGGCCCACACCTTTTAGGGGCGGGGGGAGGGGCACAAAGACCAGTTCTTTGGGCCCGGGTCTTGGAGGGGACTGGGGAGGGGGGCCGACCCCGCAGGCGATTGGGTGGGGAGGGGCGGGACTTAATGGCGGCGGGGGCGGGGCCACTACAGGGAGATGTCCGGTGGGCGGAGCTTGTAACGCGACTGGGCGGGGCTTGGTAGAGGGAGCTGGGTGGTTGGTGGGAGGGGCTCCGGTAAATGGGTGGGCTCAATAAAGGGGCGTGGTTTAGCGGGGCTGGTTGGAGGGTCCTCATGGGACTGAGTGGGAAATGAGGCTCCATGGGGAGGTGGGAGGAGCTTAGGGTAAAAGGCGTGGAGTGTGCCCCGGGGTGTTTCTTAGAGGAAGTGGGGTTTAGGAGTGTAATCTGGGGAGCCTTAGTGGAAATAGCAAGCGAAAAGAGTTTCAGTTGGTTTTATCCAAGGTTCCAGGACTTTATTCTTCAAAGGAGAGTGGGAGGAGCTCACAAGGGAGTGGGAGGGGCTTGTCCAAGAATAGAAGGGGGATCCTGGAACAGTGGGAGGGACTATGAAGGAGTGGGCGGTGCCTGTGCAAGAGTGGGCGGGGCTTAGAGAGGAATGGGAGTCTGCAAAGAGGGGGTGAGACTTCAAAACACTCAGTGGGATAGAGGCTACTTGGAATGATTAGAAAGATTGGCAGATGAGTGGGAGAAGGGTTTGTAGGTAACTGGGTGGGGCTTAAAGAGAGTGGGCGTGGCCTAGGTGGGCGTGGCTTCCAGGGGATAGTGACTGGCCTGTGATTCTCAAGAGCCAATGGGGGAGGACTAATGGGGAGGTGCCGCCCTCACCTTCGCTCCTTGTCTACCCTGCTCCAGAGAGCCCCCGCCCGCCACTGACCTCACGCCTCACCACCATGGATGACGCCCCGCTGCCAGCGCCCCCTGTCCCCGCGCCGGCCCCGGCCCCAGCACCGACGGCTGCCGCCGCCCCACGCGTGCCGTTTCACTGCAGTGAGTGTGGCAAGAGCTTCCGCTACCGCTCGGACCTGCGGCGCCACTTCGCGCGTCACACTGCTCTCAAGCCCCACGCGTGTCCGCGCTGTGGCAAAGGCTTCAAGCACAGCTTCAACCTGGCCAATCACCTGCGCTCGCACACGGGCGAGCGGCCCTACCGCTGCTCCGCTTGCCCCAAGGGCTTCCGAGACTCCACCGGCCTGTTGCACCACCAGGTGAGTCCTGCAGGCTGGCCAGGCCGCCTCCCTCCTGGGGCTGGACATGGCCTTGGAGCCCCAGCCCCACTCTGGGCACCAGAGAAAACTTTCCTCTTCCTCCCTCCCTCCTGGTCAAAGCGCCCTGGCCAGCCAGATCTCTAGGGGTTTCTCTGTCAGTCCCCACCTACTTAAGGATTGGAGGCAAACATTCATCGACATTTGCCCCACCTATAGGTTCCTCCTCTCATCCATCCCCCTGGCCACACTGCCCACCCCCACCCCGGCCCCCTCCGGCACACCAGCTTCTACAGTTTTGTCTTTATGGTTACCTTGCCATTGTTTGGGGGGGGGGGGGCAGGGTTAGGGAGTGGGAGGAGCGGCTGGGGGCCAGGAGTTGAGGCTGCTCTGCTACATGGGGCCTGAGCAGCTGCCTTCCCTGCTGGGAGGCTGGGAGGCTGAGAGGCTGGGAGGCTGGGAGGCTGGGAGGCTGGGAGGCTGAGAGGCTGGGAGGCTGGGAGGCTGAGAGGCTGGGAGGCTGGGAGGCTGAGAGGCTAGGAGACTGGGAGGCTGGCAGGCTGGGAGGCTGGGAGACTGGCAGGCTGGCAGGCTGGGAGGCTGGGAGACTGGGAGGCTGGCAGGCTGGGAGGCTGGGAGGCTGGGAGGCTGAGAGGCTGAGAGGCTAGGAGACTGGGAGGCTGGCAGGCTGGGAGGCTGGGAGGCTGGGAGACTGGGAGGCTGGGAGGCTGGGAGGCTGGGAGGCTGGGAGGCGGGAGTGCCCAGCTCCAATTCATGGCTCTGCCCTCAAGGCTCTGCTTGGGCTGGGATGACCTTGGGGACCTGGGCACAGGATGGGCAGAGGCCTGAGGCCAGAGAAGCCGGGAGCTGGGGGGTAGGGTGCAGCGTTCCCCACGGGGCTCTCACCTCAGGCTTTGAGGATCTGGTCACAGCGTTGGGGTGATTCCCTTACTGTGTGTGGAGGGGGTCCTGTGGGGAAGGGGAAGGGCCCTCAGAGCCCCGCTTGGCTCACCCGCTCCCGCAGGGCCAGCCAGGCTCCCCGGGGTCTGCACTGCGGGCTGCTGGCATGCTTCCTGCTCTGCCATCAGCCCCCTGGGGGGGAAGGGCAGCTACTGGCGGCGTGCAAATAGAATGGAGACAGAATGGAGACAAAAACCTATTATCCCGATAGAGATCAGGGCCAAGGGCAACAACAGGAGCCTGGGCTTCTGGGTGGACAGAAAGACGGCACTGAAGTCCGCCATTGTTTTTTAAATATGTTTTTGTTGATTTCAAAGAGGAAGGGAGAGGGAGAGAGAGATAGAAACATTGATGATGAGAGAGAATCATCAATTGGCTGCCGCCTGCATGCCCCCCCTGGGGATGGAGCCTGCAACCTGGGCATGTGCCCTTGACTGGAATCAAACCCGGGACCCTTCAGTCCGCAGGCTGACGCTCTATCCACTGAGCCACACCAGCTGGGGCTCCCTTGCCGTTTTTAAAAAAAACAGATTTACCACGTATGCACTTAACTCTTTCATTCGGCAATTATCTATTGAGAGCTCTCCCTGCTCTCAACACTGGGGTCACCAAAGGGAAATCAATAAAATCGGGGCGTTTGGAGAACTTATATCCCACTGGAGGTAGATGATCAACAAGAAAGCAAATGCACAGGTAAGCATGTCCTGAAAGGGGAGAAGTGGGGAAGGAGATTAAACAACAGGAAGCTGATGTGCAGGAGTAAAGAGGGGAGAGCGGTGGGCCGCCAGGCCAGGTGGGGACGGGCAGGGCACGGTGGTATCTGAGCTGAGACCTGAAGTGTGAGCAGGGAACAGCACTCCAGGCAGAGGGAACAGCCAGTGCGAAAGTCCAGGTGGGGACAGCTTGGTGTGGGCAAGAAAGGGATGGGAGACCTGTGGTTGGGGCAGAGCGAGCCGGGGTCAGAGCAGAAGGTGGTGCGGGGGAGGGCAGGCAGTCGTGTACACCTCGGCCGCTGTGAGGAGCGGGGTTTTAGTCTATGGGCCAGACACTCACACTGCAAGGTTAAGTAAAACCAGACATGTCACTGGTCCCCTCCTCTGTCCCGTGCTGTCTGCCTTGGTTTCACACTTCATTCTGGCTGTGATCCCAACTTTCTAAGTGGCCTTACTACCTCCTGTCTCTCCCCATTGTGCCCAGCCCCTGTGACCTGGAACCTTCCTCCCACCCCACCCCCACATCCTTCCGCCATTAAAATCCCTGATCCTTAACTCGATGTGACATTCACAGGCGACTGAGGTCTCACCCCTGCCCACTAGTAGGTTATCATCCAACTGAGCATTTAATGAGCACCCACGGTATGCAGGCTCCTTGGGGGAAATGAGAGAGACAGGACAGAAACAGCCCGTTTCCCACTCCTTTCGTGGCCTCCCAAGTCAAAAATCTAGTCATTAACCAACCAGGTTGATAAATGTCAGCTCGCAGCCGAGACAGGAGCACAGAGGGTTCCCGTGTTCTGAGGCTAATACAGGGGCTCTGAAGTGGTCCGGCCGGGTCAGGGATGGGGCCTGGGGTGGTTTTTCTGGGGTAGCACTCCCACTTCTTTAGGCCCCATGCTCCTGGCAGACATGATTAATCCAGCACCGTACTCTCTTATCCAGACTGGAGTCCTCCCCACAACTCTCCTCCAGGCAGACCCTACCAATCAATAGGGCTCTAGACTAGAAACCTGTGTCTGTTATTCCAGGACTCTTAAATAAACCACAAGGGCCCTGGCCGGTGTGGCTCAGTGGATAGAGCGTCGGCCGGCAGACCAAAGGATCCCGGGTTCGATTCCGGTCAAGGGCATGTACCTCGGTTGCAGGCTTCTCCCAGGCCCGGGCCCTGGTTGGAACTTGTGCAGGAGGCAACCAATCGATGTGTTTCTCTCACATCCATATTTCTCTCTGTCTTTCCCTCTCTCTTCCATGCTCCCTAAAAAGCAATGGAAAAATATCCTCGGGTGAGGATTAACAACAGAACCTCAAGGGCCATATCAGCAGAGACATGTGTAAGGCCGCCCAGCCACATCCCCAGGGCTCAGCAGCCACACGTGGCTAGTGGCCACCGCATTGGACAGGACAGATCTAGAGCATTTCCATCACTGCAGCCAGTCCTACTGGACGGTTCTGCTCTAAAAAGCCCTAGAGCAAGCATGTCAAACTCACAGGCTCACACAGGCTGAATAAACAAGGTTTAAGTGGATGTGGCTGCAAAAAACACAAAAGCTTCCACTTTTATAGAAACGTAGGTTTATGTCAATAGAGACATGCTGAATACAAAGGGCTGAAATAAATGAGTCATCGTTAACAAAATAATAGAACATTTTAATAAAAATTAATATTTTTCCTTGAACATGAACTTACCAGACACTGAATAACCGCACAACTTCATAAGCATCACACAAATCTATTTTTCTTGTTCTCCAAAAGCAAAATATTTCCCATTGCGCACACCAAACAAGTCAGTCCAAGTCTAACGACGTGCCCATCGGCTGCTAGAATCTTCGCTGCTAGTATTAGTGGAGAGACATGGTGCGCCTGCGTGTAAGACACGTAAGGGAAATGAATGCAACGCGATGATAGTCATCGTCATTAGCGAACATTGTAGTTCGTTATTAATAACAGGATATTGTAAAAATTAAGTTACAAAATTTTTATTAAAATGTTTCTTACATGCCGTTATATTGGCTGGGCCGCAAAAATATTGCTTTTGGCTGCCCACAAGACCGCGAGTTTGACATGCCTGTCCTAGAGCAGTGGTTGGCAAACTGCGGCTGGCGAGCCACATGCGGCTCTTTGGCCCCTTGAATGCGGCTCTTCCACAAAATACCACGTGCGGGCGCGCATGTACAGTGCGATTGAAACTTGGTGGTCCATGCGCAGAAGTCCGTATTTTGTGGAAGAGCCACACTCAAGGGGCCAAAGAGCCGCGTGTGGCTCGAGAGCCGCAGTTTGCCGGCCACTGGCGTAAGCCAACTGTCCACAATTACCGGGAAGCAAAATCTCAACAGGTTGAGAAAATGTTCCAGAGAGCGGCAGTTTCAAATCTTGTTTTATTTGTTACAATCAAAGAAAAGGCAGTAGTGGGTTTCCTGAAATCCATTGGTGATAGGTAAGGGGGGGGGGGGGGGCGGACCTCTGAGATTGGCTAAAAATTAAATGGTAGACATATGGTTCTTTTACATAGGTGGGTACAGGATACTTCACGGTTGTACCCTGAGGGGTCCGGGAAAAGGGGGAGTTACCCTGACATTCCAGAGGTGGGGTTATCCTAGATGCCAAGGACCATAGACAGGCTTAGTTAGGGTAAAGATTGGCTTTTGTCAGGGAAAAGGCTAGCCTCGGGCATGACTACCCACCGGAAAGGGCTTTTCATTAAGAGCTTTCCATCCCAGACCGCCCTTTGTGGTTGCTTTAGGGTCTGAGTGTGTAAGGCCACCGCGCAGGCCTTTCCTGGGCTTGTGGGGTTTAGTATGTGGCCCCTTTTCACCCGCAGGCTGGAGGGCCTAAAGCCATGGAGTGCGGCCCACAGGCGAGGGAAGCCGGATCACGGCCTTGTGGACTGGTGGGAGGCACGGGCCACCTCCCTCCGTGTCCGGGCTCTGCCCTGCCGGCTGCACCCTCAGCCCTGAGCTGTCCTCCCTCCGCCCTGCAGGTCGTCCACACCGGAGAGAAGCCCTACTGCTGCCTGGTCTGCGAGCTGCGCTTCTCCTCGCGCTCCAGCCTGGGCCGCCACCTCAAGCGCCAGCACCGCGGGGTGCTCCCGTCGCCCCTGCAGCCCGGCCCGGGCCTGCCCGCCCTGAGCCCGTCCTGCTCCGTGTGCTGCAACGTGGGGCCCTGCTCCGTGTGCGGAGGTGCGGGGGCTGGCGGGGGCGAGGCCCCGGAGGGGGTGGGCCCGGGCAGCTGGGGGTTGGCGGAGGCGGCGGCGGCCGCGGCGGCCTCGCTGCCCCCGTTCGCGTGCGGCGCCTGCGCCAGGCGCTTCGACCACGGCCGGGAGCTGGCGGCCCATTGGGCCGCGCACACCGACGTGAAGCCCTTCAAGTGCCCGCGCTGCGAGCGCGACTTCAACGCCCCGGCGCTGCTGGAGCGGCACAAGCTGACGCACGACCTGCAGGGCCCGGGCGCGCCCCCCGCGCAGGCCTGGGCCGCGGGGGCAGGTTCGGGGCCCGAGACCCCCGGCGAGGGCGGCGCCGAGGAGGCGGGGGACGCCGGGCCGGCCTGGGACGGCGGGCTGCTCCTGGGCCGCGTGGGGGGCGGTGTGCCCGAGCTGGGGGGGCTGCTCCCCGGGGGCGGCGGGGAGGCGCCCCCACCGGCGGCCGCGGCGGAGCCCTCGGAGGACACCCTGTACCAGTGCGACTGCGGGACCTTCTTCGCCTCGGCCGCGGCGCTGGCCAGCCACCTGGAGGCGCACTCGGGGCCGGCCACCTACGGCTGCGGCCACTGCGGGGCGCTGTACGCGGCCCTGGCGGCCCTGGAAGAGCACCGACGGGTCAGCCACGGCGAGGGCGGCGGGGCGGAGGCGGCCGCGGCGGCCTCCGAGGGGGAGCCCGCGGCCGGGGAGCCCGCGGCCAGCTCGGGCCGCAGCAAGAAGATCTTCGGCTGCTCCGAGTGCGAGAAGCTCTTCCGCTCCCCGCGGGACCTGGAGCGGCACGTGCTGGTGCACACGGGCGAGAAGCCGTTCCCGTGCCTCGAGTGCGGCAAGTTCTTCCGCCACGAGTGCTACCTCAAGCGCCACCGGCTGCTGCACGGCACCGAGCGGCCCTTCCCCTGCCACATCTGCGGCAAGGGCTTCATCACGCTCAGCAACCTCTCCCGGCACCTGAAGCTGCACCGCGGCATGGACTGACCACGCCCCGCCGCCTGCGGCTGGACTCGGGGCCCCAGGGGGCCGCCCAAACCCAGACAGGGGGCCGCCCAAACCCAGACAGGGGCCCTGAGATGAGGGGGCCCTGGCTGGAGAGATGGAGCCACCAGAAACCCATATAGGCCCTGAGCTGGGCACCCCCAAATCAATGGGCCCCTACGCTGGGGAGACCAAGAAATGGGCCTCTACAAGTCTAGTCACTCGAGGGCCCTAATAAAAGACGGGCACCCCTCCCCAAGGGAAGCCTGCCCCCTCCCTGAGAGCCATCATTCCCAGCGACCTTGGTCTGGAGAGTGTAGGGGGACCATGCCCCCGAATCTCCCTGGATCCCTCCAAATGCACCCCCACAATCACTGGTGCCCCTAGGTGATGGATAGAGCCAGAATCTGCCTTCCCCCGTTGCATTCCCTGTGCGGAAGGAGGACCAGGGTAGATCCCCCTGCCCTCAGCCCACTCCCCAGTCAGGCCGCCCCCCCCTACTGCGGAATGGGCCAACCCTAGTGATCTCCCCACCCCCAAACACTAGACTAGGCTGGTTGGGCATCCCCCCGCCCAGTAGGATGGACTGGTCCAGATGCGCAGCCTCCTGTCCACTGGAATGGGCTGGCCCTGCTGTGGCCTGCACCACACCCTCTTCACAGCGGACACGGCAGACACGCCCCTCCTCTTCTGCGTCATTCCGACCTGCGAGCTCACCTGAGCGGGAGCTGGCGGACACTGGGTCTCCTCCCACTCTGTCCTAGCACCTGTTGGTCTTCCCCTCTCTGTCGGTTTGTCTGTCTCTGTGTTCCTCCCAACCCCAAGGGAAAGGGGGGGCTGGCTAGGGGGTTCTCCCCATGAGCCTGGACCTCACCCCCTCATCCCAGTCCCCCGTGTCTCCCAAGACCCCAATAAACCTCATCCTGTCGGTCAGTGCCGTCTCATTGTCTGAACCTTGGCCCCAGGGCATGGAGGTTCCTCCCTCCTGACATAGACCAGGCCTCTTGCAGAAGGAAAGAATTTGGAGTCCTTGAGATGGCGCTTGACCCTATCAACTACATGGCACCCTGCCCCTTAGACACAAGCTGTGCCTCCACAGATGGACATCCCCCTAGAACCAGACAGCCCCCCCCACTTTTTAAATATATTTTTATTGATTTCAGAGAGGAAGGGAGAGGGAGAGAGAGACAGAAACATCAATGATGAGAGAGAATCATTGATTGGCCACCTCCCACACGATCAGGGGTCACGCCTGCAACCCGGGCATGTGCCCTTGACCGGAATCGAACCCGAGACCTTTCAGTCTTCAGGCTGACACTCTAAAAGCCAAACTCATCTTAGGGACAAATTCCTTCCAGGAGGGAGAGGCCCTCACCCCTTAGCCTCTGCTTATGGGCCACCCCATTAGCATCTTAGAGGCTACCTAGACCTCAGGTTAGGATCCACCACTCAGGACGGGCGGCCCTTCAGACTGCCTCCTGGGTGCGAGGGTGGTACGTTCCTGTCTCGGGCGCCCATTGCGTGCCAGGCACTGTAACCCCTCTGGGGACCCAACAGTGAACTAAACAACCCGTGGGGTTGACGGTCTAGTAGTGCGAGGCGGGGTGTAGGAAAGAAGTAATGAGGGAGGCAAGCCCAGAGGGCTGCGAGCGCTCTGAAGGAAATGCGGTAAGTGGCCTGGGCGGGCTTCCTGCAGAGGCGGCATTTGAGCTGAGGCCGCATGGTGAGGAGGGAGCCACCAGGAGGGGCCTGAGTCCAGAGGACGGAGGGTGAGACAAGGTGAGGAGGTCAGCCAGGGTCCGGTCACTCAGAAGCTAGTGGGCATATGATTGTTCTTCCTGGACAATGGTGAGCAAGAGGCTAAGTGTGAAGGGAGGTGACCACTCTTGCACTTAAAAAAAAAAAAAAATATATATATATATATATATAATTTATTTCAGAGGAAGGGAGAGAGAGAGAGGAAAGTCAATGATGAGAGATTCATGGATCGGCTGCCTCCTGCACGCCCCCTACTGGGGATTGAGCTCACAACCCGGGCATGTGCCCTGACCTGGAGTCGAACCAGTGACCTGGCAGTGTATGGGACAGTGCTCAACCAAATGAAGTACACTGGCCAGGCCCATGGTGGAGTCTTGGCCCTGGACTTCCAGCCTGGAGAACTGGGAGCCATACATGTCTGTTGTTTACGAGCCACCTGGTCAGTAGTATTTTGTTACAGCTGCCCACACAGACTCAGACATCCATCAACAACACTGTGGATAGCCCGGCTGACTTGGCTCAGTGGTTGAGGGTTGACCTATGAACCAGGAGGTCACAGTTCCATTCCCGCTCAGGGCACATGCCCAGATTGCGGGCTGGATCCCCAGTGTGGGGCATGCAGGAGGCAGCCAGCAGCCGGGCAATGATTTTTCTCTCATCGTTGATGTTTCTGTCTCTCTTTCCCTCTCCCTCTCTGGAATAAATAACAATATATTTTTAAAAATACAAAGACCAAAAAAAACCCACAAACCACCCACCTGCCATGGAGAAAAGACCAGCCCCCTTAGATACAGGGTTGGCACCAAGGACATGACCCGCCCACTCGAGGCTGGCTCCCTCAGCCAGGAGAGTGAGCGCCTGGAAAAGAGCCAGGGTTGTCATGGAGACGGCCTCGGGCTATGTGGAGTCAAGAACAGGGACCTCAGGAGGCGGAGGCCGCCACCCACCACACCTCCACCTGATTCCTTTCTCGGAGGGCGGGGCACTTCGGCAGCCGGCACAGCAAGCCCCGCCCCCAGGAGTTTGTAGTCCAATGGGAGGCCAGGTCCTCAATGAGTGGGTTGGCCCTACATACAAGATTGAAAATAAAGGCAGAGTATGGACGAGAGGGTGACGTGACAGAGAGGCTATTTTATTTATTTATTTTTAAAGTTTTAAAAAAATATATGTTGATTGATTTCAAAGAGGAAAGAAAAGAGACAGAGACATCAATGATGAGAGAGAATCACTGATCCGCTGCCTCCCACTCGCCCCACACTGGGGGTCAAGGCTGCAACACAAGCATGTGCCGGACCAGGAATCGAACCGTGACCTCCTGGTTCATAGGTCGAGGCTCAGCCACTGAGCCACACCAGCCGGGCAAGGGAGTAAGGGGAAAATAGGGAAGGGCACTCCAGGCAGATGGAATGGCCCCTGCGAAGGCCCTGAGTCCAGAAAGAACAAAGACGGCGGTGTGGCTGGAGCAGAATGAAGCAGAGGGAGAGAGGCAGCCGCGAGGGAGGCCCCAGGAGCCAGGGGTGCAGAGCCTTTTAGGCCGGGGGACAGGAGAGGAGGACGAGTGGGCGCCCCCCACCCCCACCCCCGTCTTCCCCGGAGGGTGTCCACGCAAGAGTGACAAGGTGTGACCCAAGGGCGCCTCTGAAGGCACGGGAAACAAAAGAGCCAATGAGGAGGCAGTTTCAGTGGGACTGGCATCCGTCTGAGCCAATCAGCGCCAGACCCCGCCCCCTGCCCGGGAGCCTGGTTCCCAGGCCAGGCCAGCCCCGCCCAGGCCCCTGGCTCACCTGGACTCGCGCCCCGCCCCCTCCCTGCTCCCTCCTCGGTCTCCCCGGCATCCGGCCGGGCCTCCTCGTGGGTCCCACAGGAATTTCTCTAGAGCATTCGCCGGATCATGTGACTCTCCGGCTTGAAACCTTTTCAATGGCTTCTCAGTGCCCCAGGAATGCGTCCAGCGTTCGACCTGGACCAGGAGGCCGGGCACAGTCGCAGCTCTGGCCTCTGTGCCGCCCCAACCCAAGGCCCCCGGGTCCCCCCAGCACACACACACCACGCTGTTCTCTCTGCCTCAAATTTCCTTTCCCCGCCACCTCCAGTCCTGAATTCGTTTCCCAACATAAGCCTTTAAAAATTGGATAACAGACCTAGCCGGTTTGCTCACTGGATAGAGCCTGGGTCTGCAGACCAAAGGGTACCGGGTTCGATTCCGGTCAAGGGCACTTATCTTGGTTGCAGGCTCCTCCCCAGCTCCAGCCCTGATCAGAGCTCATGCAGGAGGCAACTAATCGATGTGTTTCTCTCTGTCTTTCCCCTCTATTCTTCTCTCCCAAAAAAAAAAAAAAAAAAAAAAAAAAAAAAAAAAATCAATGGAAAAATATCCTCAGGTGAGGATGAACAAAAAATAAAATAAAATAAATTGGATGACAAAATAACAAGCATGCACCCTCGGTATATAAAACTGTCCCTGCCCTGACCGGTTTGGCTCAGTGGATAGAGCGTCCGCCTGCAGACTGAAAGGTCCCAGGTTTGATTCCGGTCAAGGGCAAGTACCTTAGCTGCGGGCACATCCCCAGTAGCGAGTGTGCAGGAAGCAGCTGATTGATGTTTCTCTCTCATTGATGTTTCTAACTCTCTATCCCTCTCCCTTCCTCTCTATAAAAAAATCAATAAAATATACATATATTTTTAAATAAAACTGCCCTTCAAACAAAAATGTAAGGACGGAAACCACAACAGCGCTATTCACAATGGCCAAAAGGTAGAAACACCCCCATGTCCACCAACCAATGAACACACAGCATGCAGCATGCCCGAATGGAATGGTATTGGAATAGTTTTCAGCCAAAAAAAGAGGGAGGAGTTATTAACACAGGCCGCAGCGTGGAGGGACAACGTGGATGGATCTTGACAACGTGGTGCCACGTGAAAGGCTGGCCGTAAAGGACCCCGTATGTTCACCCCCACTGGTGTGAAATGCCCGCCGTGGGCAAGCCCACGGAGACAGTGGCTGGTTACTGGATCCCAGGGGCTGGGAGGGGGAGGAGATGGGGAGTGACTGCTCATGGGGTGATGAATTTTGCAACTAGATAGTGGGTCTGTGGGAGGCAGTTGGACAGACATGAGCAGAGCAAGGACCATAGGCCAGGCACTGAAGGTCACCAAGGCGGGAAGCCCTGGGTACCTAGCAACGGGCAAAACAAGAACCTTGCCCCAAGTGTGACCTCCCTACCCCCTCCCCTGCCCCAGCATATCGCTGGCCATGTAGTTCAAACCCTGCCCTGACCTTCCCTCCTAGGGCATATTGCTAGTTATATAGGTTTGATCCCCTTAGATGGGGAATGAATGAGGGAGGCTGGAGACTGAAAGTCCTTAAGCATTCAGCCCCCAGAACAATGAGGTTCTTTCTTTCAAACATTTTTAAACATATATATTTTAGCCCTGGCCGGTTTGGCTTGGTGGACAGAGCGTCTGCCTGCGGACTGAAGGGTCCCAGGTTCAATTCTGGTCAGGGGCACATGCCCAGGTTTTGGGCTTGATCCCCAGTGGGGGGCATGCAGGAGGCAGCCGATCCATGATTCTCATCATTGATGTTTCTATCCCTCCCTCTTCCTTCCTCTCTGAAATCAATAAAAATATATTTTAATATATTTTTATTGATTTCAGAGAGGAAGGGAGAGAGAGATAGAAACATCAAAGATGAGAAAGAATCATGGATCGGCTGCCTCCTACACGCCCCACACTGGGGGATCGAGCCCGCAACCCGGGCACTTGCCCTTGACCCGGAATCAAACCGTGACCTCCCGGTTCACAGGTCGAAGCTCAACCACTGCGCCAGGACAGCCAGGCAACATGACGTTCTGACCTGCATCCAATACGACAAGGCCTCCGTTGTGTTTCAGCTCCGGGCCCAGAGAAACAGCACAACCCAGCCAGCGACGCCATGGCTGCCTCAGGACCAGCTGCCTTGACTAATGACCCGCAGCCCTGGTGCCTAATCAATAGAGACCCGACCCTGATAGGACACAGCTGGGAGCTGATGAGGCTTCCCCTGGGATCCTCCCGAAAAACACCCTCAAGACCAGGACCCAGCGAGGCTCTCTCTAGGAAGCAAGCCCATACTTTTCCCCATCGCCTCCCCCTTGGCGAACTTCCCTTGCCTCTCTCTCTCCTCTCTCTCT